AGTAAACGCGTTCAAAATCAAAATGACAAGCTACAGTTCATATTCTTTTGAAATCCCAAAACTGAATATACAAGCCATGCCCAAGGCCGGTAGTAAAAGTCAAAAGACAGTTTCCTATACACCTGAAATTCCTGAGACCGAAATATCCACAAGACACACGCCCAAGAATGGAATAGAAAGCTCCAACTATGTGACGAACATCTAACAGCATAAATGGCAAAAACAACACAGCCCAAATGTGACGAAATCCACATTCCAACAACACCATGATGGCGACTCACCAGTAATTAACCCAACTATGGCGATGACGTTAACTATAACCTGAAAAAAAAAAAGAAAAAAAAATTGATAATTATTATCGATCATCAACTGTTTATATCCCCGTGATTAGGGGATGCATCATGGTGCACGGTGCACTAAATTATAATTCTATATATATATATATATATTTGTAAATTTTAAAATTTTAAAGTTGTTTAATATTTTACAAAGATTAACTATAAAAAAATTACTAGATAATAATCTAACTACTAATTCAGAACCAGTTAAATAGTTTACAAAGTATTTCAATTGCCCTGAATAATTTATAGAACATCTCAAAATTACTCTGAATAATTTATAAAATTTATCTTATATTGTTATAAAATATATTTATATTATTACAATAAAACTATTACCACTTAAAAAATATATAGCAAATCTATTATTTAATTAGATATACTAAATTTAAAGAAAACAAAGTTTGTGTACTGCCAAGAATAATATTGACAAAAAGCTCTCAAACAGGTGATTCTAGTTTGCTTATAACACTATATATCTTTAAATTGCAATTCATATATGATCAACTTAGAAAAGTGTATTTGTTAAAAAAGTTGTAGACAAATTTGCTTATAAGAGGTATAAGTGATAATTCTTACAATATAATTTTTTTAAAACTTTAATCAAAGATCTTTCAATAACTATCTGATCAAATTAAATAAATAAACTTGTAAATAAGCATTATTAATCTTAATTTAAAAAAAAAAATTATTTGAGTACTGCTTCTGATAGACTAAAAAATCAACTCCAGTTCTATATACTTTGTTATAGTAGTTAGTATTTTAGAAGCTTTTTTTAAAACCTTCTCACGAATAGTATATACAGTTAAATTTTTTTTTTTAATTCAAAAAACAATAACAATCTATTAAAAAGTTAGCCAATAAAATTATATCAAATAATTTGTATTATGTGAATACTATCATAATTATGTTATACAACTTAATTTGACTTTCATATATATGCAATTCTCTTTCAGTATTTGTTTATTAAAATTTTTTAGGCATGCACTATTAGGCCTTCACAGTAACTAGATAATGCCTAGATATTTTATTGTTCTGCCAAATAATATACACTATCCAAAATTTTTAGATAAGCTTTAAGTTTGTCTTAGTTATTTTAGCTGTTGTTGCAGACTGGTAGTGTTTAAAAGCATGCATTGTTAGACCTCTATGATAACTAGATAATGTTTAGGCTATTATTGCTTGGTATTTAAAAAGAATTAGGTAAATATTAAGTTGTCTTCATTATTTGAATATTGTTATGCAAACTAGTAATATTCACTTTTTTTTAGAAAGTTAGTAGAAATTCTATTAACTTCTGCTTTTTTAAGAGAGATTAGTGGAAATTCTACTAACTTCATTTTTTTTTTATAATAGTGAAGAATATGTGAGTATCAGGCATGTTCTTTACCACTTGATATTTAAATGCTTTATGTTTATCTTTTTCAACTTATATTCTATTAAGATAATACCAATCAATTTGATTTATCACAAAAATACATCATTATATTTTGGTAATATTCAAATACTTTTTTTTTTTTTTTAATATTAAAGGTGACCACTTAGGCCATTGGCATGAGCTTTATTTCAGATAGTTACAATATTACATCAGATTCACGAGGATACAACTAGCCACACGTACACCTTTTGGGTATCTAATTTAAGTA